TCTAGTAATAATCACAGATGGTCATAACATGTGAAACAACCAAATTATAAACTACAACAATTTTCAATCAAGAAAATCAATTTAAATTAACTAAAAATACTTCCAAAAACTTCACATATATAATTATTGTACCAGTAAACCATAACAAATTCTCAAACAAACCATCAATATTCAATATCTCCTTCTCTTGTAAGCTCCATTTATTAATGCTAATTGTAAATTTCACAATTTCAATTTTTCCAACAAGTTTAAACTGTGAAATCATGAGATGCAAATCATACAACTACAGCCACCCAAATCAATAAATTCCATTTAAATTAATTGTAAACACTTCCTATAATTGTACATAATCATCATACAAGTTTTGTCAATTACATATAGGTCACAACTCGTCACATTCAAACATGTGCTATTAATGTAGAAACAATTAGGTCACAAACAATTAGTCAAATTTTTTCACGAGTAGGTCCCATCCAATAATAATCACAGATGGTCAGAATATGCACAAGTAGTCCCAGATGGTCACAATATCAAAAACAAAGTAGAAGTATCACAATATCAAAAACAAAGTAGAAGTATGTAAATAATTATACAGTCTAAAACAACCTATGAAATATGAAATGAAAAACTAAATATGTTCATAGACAGCACAATATAAACTTTCTCATATGTCATAATCAATATTATATTTGACAACTCATAAATCGTAAAGTCAGAATGAAAGGATTTGAAATTATAATCCAAAAAGACATAGGCGACAAATCAACAATTAAATGGGATGAAACTACAAAGAGTATGGTCATGTCTAACATATTATAATAAATTATGTGAAATGGTTTGATTTTTTCATTTCTTTCAATTTTTCCTAGATTTGATCAAGTGGCACCGGGTTCCTGCAAGTTTTATGATTGTGACTAGATTCACCAAATCTTCCACATTTCGTAATTTGTGATCTCTTACGCGCTGACTTCTTCCTCGTCTCAGTAGGACGCTCATAACTTCTTTTTTGATTTAGGGCAAGCACAGTTATGTTCATCACATTGTCAGGTAAAATCCATTATGCTCTATTACCTACAAGCATAATCGTCTCTTTGTAGGTATTCACATATGCATCCATTACGTAATAATTCGAACAGAAACCATAAACATCAAGCTCCAATGTTGCAAACACTGCTAGTGCATGTGGACACGAAAGTTGATCCACTTGAAACATTCTACAACTGCATGTGCATTGAGTTATATCAATCATTTATGATGAAGAATCATCTTGCACTTCAAACAAATTGTGACTTGCTAAAAAACCTAAAATAAAATAAATCAATTAGTATTGTGAATTTAAGAGGGCTATAGTTATAAATGTGACCATCATAATTCTATGTGTTGAGCATTGTAATTACTTTCAGATTTTGCACATCATGGCTCATTTTCCTAAATAGCTTTTCGTATTTGATTGCAAGCTTTTTGTGAAAGTGCTATGTGCATTGTCCCCATTCTTGCAAAGCCAAGATTGGATCATTTTCCTTAATAACTCAAAAATTGCTTCAATAGGGTAATTTTTTGCCGCCTTTGTGATTGCATTTACAGATTCAACTATGTTCGAAGTCATGGCAGAGCATTGATTTGTTGGCATGTGCAATCTAGACTATCTTTCATATCCAACGTTAAAATAAATATAGTTCATTCATATTTTAATAAAATAATGTAACAACTTGACATAGTAAATGAAATATAGTTTATGCATTAAACAGGCACGTCACAAATAGTCACACTACGTAATGATAAGTGTAGTTTCTACACTTATTTGAGATCTTAAATGATGATATTTTGTTATTCTTTGAACGGATTAGTACCTGATTTGTTATTTATTGCTTTTATTAGGAAAAGTTCATGTTTCAAAAAAGAATTGGAAAAAAGAACGGAAAATGGCTAAATGAAGCAAATCCAAAGTATGGGGACCAAAGTATAAATATTTAATGGTTGATTTGGACCACAAAAGATACTTTGAAGATTGATAGGAGTCAATTGAATGCAAATTGGAGTAAAAAAGGAAAGGGATATGATTAGAATATTACCATAAATCGACTTATAATCATATATGATATTTTCAAGATTTTTGGTCAACTTGAAACCCATTTTTCGGATGAAGAACATTTGAATTGGAAAAATTGTATTTCTAGAAGAATTGTAGATCTTTTAATTAACTTTTCAATTCACTTTGAATCACCTGAATCGGACACCAAAAGAGAAAGTTATGATCAAAATACTGAAAGTTGTATAGAGACGCAATTATGTGCGCGCGAAGGCAACTTTCCTTATTTGATTCAAACTCTTTTGGAAGATAATTTGGACGTGAATTTTGACCTAATTCCATGAGATGGGTAGCAATGAAAGGGTCTCTCTCTTGCATCTTCATATAGAATGGTTTCATCAAATCCATCAAGAACAAGGGGCCAATTGCTATATTTTGAGAAAGAAGATTAAGTCATATCAAGGAATTGAAGTTCAATTACATCAAGTTTTGAAGAATTCAACTTTGAACGTGAAGATCGACATCTTTTGTATTCTTTCATGATCCGGGTGATATTTTTCTATTATTCTTTTTGTAATTTATATATTAATATGCTATGCTAGTTTTTTATTTTATTGAATGAGATGAACCCTATTATTTATTTATTTTAATTCAAGACAAGTATTTAGTTTAATTCATGTGTTACTTGATTAATTTTGCATTCCCATTGCACTATTGAATTGTTTGGCCATCAATTGAATAGTTAGTTGCTTGTTGTAGTGTAGGAATACTCACAACGAGTCTAGAACGCGACAAAATTAACATGTATAGTTAGGATTATGAATAATAAATATCATACATGCAATCATATTGATAACTTAAACTAAATGTTTGATTTTCATATGAATTCGGACTAGGAATAGAATCGGTCGTGTTAATCATAGGTTGGTGTATCTTGAAAAATAACATTTAACATATTAGTATTATCGATTGTCAAGAACTCGTGAAAAAAATTAGATTACGAATCAAGAATTGAAATAAATAGCAATTGGCGGAGTCAAAATTCAATACAATCCTCCATAATTTGATAAAACCTCAATTTTTATTGCTTTCTTAGATTAGTTTAGTTAAAATCAAATCAAAATATTTATTTTGTTTTCATAACTAGAATTCCATGCGAAACTAGTAAACTTGAATTAAATTTATTCTCTGTGGGACGATACTCTTAACTCACTTATTATTACTTGTCAACGATCCCGTATGCTTGTGGGTATCACACGAACAAGTTTTTGGCGCCGCTGCCGGGAAATAAAGTTTTAGTATGAGTTTATTAGTTTACATTGGATTTGAATTTTTTATTATTTTTATTTTTATTTATTTATTATTTTTGTTATTTTAGGCTTTAATCGTGATACCTAATTTCTTCTTATTTTACTCTTAAGGCTTTTACTAGATCTCAAAATCAAAAGGACCTTTAAACAACGCTAAGAGAACTAAGAAGAACGAGGGTAATGGTTGAGAATCAAGATCAGATTCAAAATGCACTGCAAAATGCAACACTTAAGGTTCAACAACTACCTCCAGCTTAGCCTATATTGGTTAGAGATTTTGTGAATCCAGTAACTGCACCGATTCAACCTCCTATTGTCTATCCACCGTTCGGACAAGCAAACTTTCTCATCCGACCAGATGTCATAAATCTTTTCTAGAATCATCAAGACATCAGGTTCAGCGGGAAGGCTACAGAAAATCCACACGAACATATTCAGGCTTTTACCATGCTTTGTGATGTCATTAGCCATGAGGGGATGTCACAAGATGCATTCCGAATGCGTTTGTTCCCTCACACTTTGAAGGAGGGTGCGAAAATATGGATGATGTCACAACCCCCTGGGAGTATCATATCGTGGAATGACATGGTACAAAAATTTACCATGAAATTCTTTCCACCATCTCGAGTCCACCAAATCAGAAACGAAGTATATCTTTTCAGACAGAAGGATCATGAGACATATCCGAAAGCATGGAACAGGTTCAAAAGTGCGTTTAGGAAATGTCCAAATTTTGATGTTCCTAAACTGGCACAAATATATCTTTTCTATAATGGACTACGCGCTGAATTTCGCAATATAGTTGATGCTTCTGTGGGTGGATCAATTTTGACTATCGAAGTGGATGATGCACATATTTATTTGAGAGGATTGCTAAGAATCAGGCCAACTGGCTAACAGATAGGGAAGCTCCGAGAAAAATAGCTGGATTGCATAATGTGGATGCAATGACAGCATTGGTAGCGCAGATGGAAGCAATAACAAAGAAGCTTGATACTTTAACTCAATCTGTGTACATGGTACAACATCCAGCTCTGGTATGCGTAGGTTGTGGGACGAATCACATTACTTCAAGCTGCCCTTTGGCTTCTACTCACATAGGTCAGTCAGCAGAGGTCAGTTGTGCACAGAACTATTAGAGGGAAAATGGATCTTACCCATACAACTACCATCCGAGTTTGAACAAGCATCCCAACTATTCGTGGGTGGATAATCCAGATCAAGTAAATCAGATGAAGGGCAATCCACCAGTAATTTAGCAACAGCAAGGTAAGAGGCAATCGTTGGAAGATCTACTGGTCACGTACATCACGAAGACTGAAATAATAATGCAGAATCAACAGACTTCCATACATAACCTAGAAAATCAGGTGTGACAGATAGCAGCTGCATTAGCCAATATACCACATGGTACCTTACCGAATGACATAGAGAAGAACCCACGGGAGCAGGTATTAGTAGCTGAGGTGGTAAATTATGCAACTATTGAGCTCCCATCTACCACATCCACCACCCCTGTCAAAGCTTATGTGCCACCCATTCCATTTTCTCAAAGACTTCAACGCTAGCTAACAACAGAGCAAGTTCAGGCCATCACTACTGGGAGTGGTGTTTAATTACCAGAAATCATTGTAAAGAGGAAGGAGACAGAGAGAACTCAAATGCCTACTAAGGATAAGGAACCGATGGAGCAATCTGAAGAAGCAATAGAAAAGGACCAACAGACAGTTTCAGATAATCCACAGCTTAAGGCAAATGTTCCTAGCACTTCACTGACACCTCTGGTCCCCTTTCCTCAAACATTACAGAAGACCAAATTGGAGAAGCAAGCTATGAAATTCTTGGAAATCCTCAAAAAGTTGCACGTCAACATCTCATTCATTGACGCTATTCTTCAAATCCCAAACTATTCTAAATCGCAGACTAAAAAGAGGAAGATGCCCGAGCATGAAATAATAACACTATCTGAAGAGTGCAGCGTGATCATCCAGCACAGGATCCTTCCCAAACTTAAAGATACAGGGGGTCTCACTCTACCGTACTCCATAGGAAACTTACAAGGTATTAATTGTTTAATTGATTCGGAAGCAAGTATTAACTTAATTTCTTTGTCTCCTTACCGAAAATTGGGATTGGGATATCCCAAAGCGGCTTCTATCATCCTTCAGTTGGCGGATCGAACATTGAAACATCCCTATGGAATAGTCGAGGACATGCTCATCAAGATGGGAGAATTTATTTTTCCAACTAACTTTATCATTCTCGACATAGAAGAGACATCCCAAATTCCAATAATACTAGGAAGGCCATTCCTGTCAACAAGTCGGGCATTACTTGATTTTGATACAAACGAGATAGTCCTGAAGGTGGAGGATAAGCAACAAAGCTTCACCATGGAGAATTCAATCAAGCAACCATCATATTTTGAGGATTGCCAACGAGTTGATCACTGGGAGAGTTACAAAGGCCGAGCCAAATGTAAGTGGAATTATTGGTAGGGATAACAATGGAAACTTGATCATGTGGCGGATGAAAAATGAAAGAAAGAAGTGCAACTAGTGCTTAAAATGCAGGGCCGAAAATTCTCTTTTTAAGCCCCCATGAAGAGCCTAAAAGCAACAAAGTCTAGCAAAAAACTATAAATAAAGCGCTTGTTGGGAGGCAACCCAATATTTCTATCCATTTTATTTTATTTTACTATAATTAGAATAGCTTAAGATAATTTAGATTAATTTTTATTTTAGGGACTAATCATCCATATCACGTTTTCTCTTAGGTCTTTGAGATTTAGTGGTTTATTAGATGTTTGAGCTAAGTAACACATCTTCTAGGTTATTTGATCTCTAACTTTTTATTTAACTGCCATATGTAGGAACATGATGTCGCAAAACACTCAAACCAACATAGACCAAGGAGAAAACATGATGAAGGAGAATATCTAACAGTTGCCCAAAGTGTGTTCTACGTTCAACAGGAAAATTCAAGGAGTACCTTCTTCCTTTCATTCCTCGTCCCCTTACATTCTCAATTATGTTTTAAGACATTGAGGACAATGTCAAGTTTAAGTTTGGGGGTGGGAAAAAACTTTTTGAGTTTTTCATTTTTGTATGTTTTTGTGAAAAAAAAAAATAATAATAATAATAAATAATAAATTCGTTAAAATTTCTATTTTTGTGAGTTAAAAAAAATTATTATCTATTTATTTATTTTTGTTTGTTTGTGTGCTTGTGTGTGTTAGACAGTTTGGCTAACTATAATAATTAAATTTGAGGTTTGGTATTGATTTATGAACTATGGATAAGATGTATGCTAGACTAATTGAAGCTCAACGTTGCAAGACTTGATATTATACATGCACTAGAATTGAGTTTGACATTGTGATGAAATGAGTTGATTCATATGCTTGATAGGTTGAATTAATCGAACATAGACGCTTTACCTATAGCATACAAATTATTTATCTTTAGACCAAATTTAGCACAATTTGGGGGTGATTTTGCTGTTGCGGAAAGATACGGATGTGGATAGGGATTCCATGTGTGAAAACTTTTGTATGGATTGTCTTAGACTAACCGGATAAAATTGGGTGAAAGTTTTGAGTTGGAGGTCGATTTAATTGAATAAGTGTGTGATAAGGGGTATTGCACTAATCAAGGTATATCTTTTGAAATTTAAAACTTCTCTCTAAAGCCTTTATGACTCGAGTAATTAAACCTACAAGGGTATCTTAAAACCTGAGGCCCTAAATTCGTTTGACTTGGGAATCATCGGTTTAAAGCTCGTTATATGGGTGATTTAGAAAGCAATCGGAAATGAAGTTGCACTTGAAAAAAAAATTTGTTCTCTTTGAAGCCTTTTTGACTCGGGTTATTAAGCTTGTAAAGATATCTTAAAATCTGGTACCCTAAAGTCATTTGACTTTGGAGTTATCGACCTAAAGCCTGCTACAGGGGTCATCTAGAAAGCTTAATGGAGAGAGAAAAAAAAACTCTTAAAAATCAGAAAAAGCAAATGCACGGAAAAAAAGCAGAAACACTAAAACCTTGTTAAGTCCTAACACTTATTCGAGAAAATTTAACTTTTGATTAAAGATAATTAGCCTAATTGAGTCTTGGCGGTCGAAGCAATCGAATTAATTGAGAATCCTTGTTCATTGATGTATTGACTTGCAACCAGTGATGTCCACCTGAACTAGAGAGGGTAAGGATAGTAATGAAAAATTCAACCTTAGATCACACGCTGGGAAAATAGTTAAAAATAATAAATTTAGGGGTGTGTGACTCTTACGAGAGATGAAAGGATATATTTGACCATAGAGGGTGGGGAATTGAAACAACTTGTGAAATCATTAATGTCTACTTAATTTTTTACACACACACACGTCGATTTTGCATTGGAAGAGTGGATATTGGTTTGGCATTATGACTTTGAAGCAGTTTATAGATTTAATATGATGATCTCGAATTCTGTGGTAAAAAACTAGATTGTCCAACCAAATATTTTTGCATGCTTGTATGTTTGTTATTATTTAAGTTATATTTTTGTTTGAAGACAAACAAAGATTCAAGTTTGGGGTTTGATAAGTGTTGTTTGTATACTTATTTGGGATCTTAAATGATGATATTTTGTTATTCTTTGAACGGATTAGTACCTGATTTGTTATTATTACTTTTATTAGGAAAAGTTCATGTTTCAAAAAAGAATTGGAAAAAAGAACGGAAAATGGCTAAATGATGCAAATTCAAAGTATGGGGACCAAAGTATAAATATTTAATGGTTGATTTGGACCACAAAAGATACTTTGAAGATTGATAGAAATCAATTGAATGCAAATTGGAGTAAAAAAGGAAAGGGATATGATTAGAATATTACCATAAATCGACTTCCAATCATATAGGATATTTTCAAGATTTTTGGTCAACTTGAAACCCATTTTTGGATGGAGAACGTTTGAATTGGAAAAATTGTATTTCTAGAAGAATTGTAGCTCTTTTAATTAGCTTTCCAATTCACTTTGAATCACATGAATAGGACATCAAATGAGAAAGTTATGATCAAAATACTGAAAGCTGTGCATAGACAAAATTATGCGCGCGCGAAGGCAACTTTCCTTATTTGATTCAAACTCTTTTGGAAGACAATTTGGACGTGAATTTGACCTAATTTCATGAGATGGGCAGCAATGAAAGGGTCTCCCTCTTGCCTCTTTATACAGAATAGTTTCATCAAATCCATCAAGAACAAAGGGTCAATTGCTATATTTTGAGAAAGAAGATCAAGTCATATCAAGGAATTGAAGTTCAATTACATCAAGTTTTGAAGAACTCAACTTTGAACGTGAAGATCGACATCTTTTGTATTCTTTCATGATCCGGGTGATATTTTTCTATTATTCTTTTTGTAATTTATATATTAATATGCTATACTAGTTTTTTATTTTATTGAATGAGATGAACCCTATTATTTATTTATTTTTATTCAAGACAAGTATTTAGTTTAATTCATGTGTTACTTGATTAATTTTGCATTCCCATTGCACTATTGAATTGTTTGGCCATCAATTGAATAGTTAGTTGCTTGTTGTAGTGTAGGAATACTCACAACAAGTCTAGAACGCGGCAAAATTAACATGTATAGTTAGGATTAGGAATAATATATATCATACATGCAATCATATTGATAACTTAAACTAAATGTTTGATTTTCATATGAATTCGGACTAGGAATAGGATCGGGTCGTGTCAATCATAGGTTGGTGTATCATGAAAAATAACATTTAACATATTAGTGTTATCGATTGTCAAGAACTCGTGAAAGAAATTAGAATACGAATCAAGAATTGAAATAATTAGCAATAGGCAGAGTCAAAATCCAATACAATCGTCCATAGTTTGATAAAACCCCAATTTTTATTGCTTTCTTAGATTAGTTTAGTTTAAATCTAATCAAAATATTTATTTTGTTTTCATAACTAGAATTCCATACGAAACTAGTAAACTTAATTAAATTTATTCTCTATGGATGATAACTCTTAACTCACTTATTATTACTTGTCAACGATCCCGTACACTTGCAGGTATCACACGAACACATAATATTATGAAACAAGTCACAAGCAATCATAGTATAAGTTATAGACAGTCACATATTAGATATCATCTAATCTTGTTATTGACTGAGTCCAATTGTTGCATTTGATATTCAATTTCATCCATTGTATAAGCTCGTACGGTAGCACTGAATGCATGTGTGATATTGTGACCTGATTTTACGTAATGGGTCTTCAAATTTTTAAGTAAATGGTATTAACAAATCCCTTTCATTGCCTTTGGATATACTAATTCAATGGCATTTCTTATGCTGTTGTGTCTATTCGACACTATACATAATCCATCTCTTGATCCATATGCCCTCTTCAACATTTCAAGAAACCATCTCCGTGACTTGACATTTTCATTGTCCCCAATTCCAAAAGCTAGTATGAAGATGTTGTTTTGCGTCTTGTGTACAAGCCGTGAAGAGTGTACCCTATAGTGACTATTTAAATATGTGCCATCGACTACAAAGTCTGGCTTAATATTTCCAAACGACAATCGATGCACCCAAAGCCATAAAACAATATTTAAATCTATCCAAATGATCTGTTTCTATTCTTGTGTCCGTCTTCATGTTCATCTGCTCTAGCATAAAGAAATAAGAAGGTAACAATTGAAACGATGTTCTTGCATCACCTCTAATCAACTTTAATGTCTGTTCATGTGACCTCCATGCCTTCATGTAATTTACCGATACTCCATATTTTTTTAACATGTCATTCGAGATATCATTAGGGGTATATATTGTACATGAAAAGTGTATTTGTACTTGAAGCAGTTTGACACTGTTGAGGTAGATGATTGTCGATGAGATCCTAAAACAACATTCATCGAGCATATGTGACCATTGCAAATTTCCCTGATCTTAAACATTTTCGTTTCTCATAAGCAAGAAGATCTAAATATCCACTTGTAATCGTTATGCAAACACTTTATCATGTACTCCTTTTTGTCCGATCTCAAAATCTTATATTCAAATTTATATTGTATGGCATAGAAGGCCAAACTCATTTTCAATATTTCCTTGTCACGAAAAATATTTTCCTCTACTACTTGTCTAGCATCTACTTTAGATACCAATGTCACATCTTTTTAAATGTTTCCTTTCTCAATGGTTATAACTGAGTCATAGTTATCTTGAGCTATTTGTGGTAAAGAAAACATATTAGTTGATGACTCAACGGAAGTAGTCAACGAATTTGGTAATTGCAATGCACATGTTGACTGCCATTAATTTGCAGAGATAACATAAACTGTAATAGGATAATTCAATATAGTCCCAATTAAAGATTTTAGCCTCAAATACGTTAAGAAATTATTATTGCTCAGTATTCGGAATGGAAGTAAAGTAGAATTCAAAGAATATATTAATTTCACAGCTATTTTTGCATAATTAAGGCCTAATTTTGTACTAACAAGGTCAACCAATTCATCGTATTTACATGAATCATTCACTAGTACAAGTGATGTGTGACCGCAGTATAATAGGCAAACATGCAAAATTGTCATCCCTGATCACACACAAATAACAGTATGTTACACTTCATTCACTAAAATGAGGAAATATTCAAATGCAATAACATTGATCAATATAGGCCACAGATGAAGAAGTCACGGATAGGTAAATACAGGACACGGAAGTTATTTAATGTAAATATATTTACATAAGGTCAACAAATATAGGGTTGCAAAGATTCAATTTTCAATGTAATGACATTGATCACAGAATAAAATAATTTTAGTTATGGATTGTCAAGACATTTAACATACATGTCACAACCTATTTAATTCAGTAGTTACAACTAGTCACAGTTAAGAGAAACATGTATTAATATGAATGAATCACATAAGTAGTCACAAATAGTTATAGATAAGCATTTTTATAATTATAAGTTAAAAAAATAAAAATTGCATACTATCAACGGTTAATGAGAAAACACACTTCACACACTGTGCAAAATATATCTTATTTTTAACAATGAGAAGGCTCTGGTTATGTTTGGATAAATGTTTCATTAGCTTCGAAAAAATCATTTTTTCAAAATCATCAGCTATACTAAGTAATTATAGGCTTACATTTGAAATCAGATTACAGAACTTCAAAATCTGCTTCGGGCAAATCCAATTCTTCCATATTCCAGCTTCGACTTTCTCCAATACAATGAAAATTAGCAGTATGTCGACGAGATTGTGACACTATTGATTGATTGTAGCTTGAAATTGAGGAATGACAGTGAAATTTTTGTGATTTTTGGAGAGTTTTTGGTGAACTCATTGTGGGGAGAGAGAGAGAGAGAGAGAGAGAGAGAGAGAGAGAGAGAGAGAGTTTTTGCGGAACTCGTGGCGTAAAGAGAGAAAATAGTGTTTGATTATAGTTGGAAAATAATAAATATCTTTAAATGTAGTATATTAACTAATTTGTAGGAGATCAGTATTTTTTATCCAAATTTAGTGTATATTATATTATATAATTATATATTTAATATTTTCAATTTATCATTTGATTTGTGAAAGTTTTAAGAGATTCTGTCAAGTGTGAAATATGTTTTTATAATGTAGTAGTTATGTGGTTTTTCCAACTTTTAATTTTCAATAAACTTAAATCAGCTTATAATTTAAATTTGACCCGATCCATTTAAATATTTATTATTAATAATTTTTATTGTCTACACTATGATTTGTCAATAAAATCACATAAACTATAAGTATTTTATTTTTCTTTAAATGAAAATTAATAATTTTAATTTAAGCCCCGTACAAATTGCCTTAAGATATTGGGCTTCAAATCCAATAATTTGGGCCTCCGATGGAAACAAAATATGGGCTATACAATATAATATAATGTGGAAATTACATAATAGCAAGGATTTAAATATCACAAGTAGAAAACAAAGGACCAAGTTTCATTATACAAAAATTAGGTATTGATATAAAAATTAAATATCCAAATTTAACTCCCAAACCCTAAACAATTTCATCATCTTCTTTCTCTCTTCTCTCTCTAACTTCGCCTACTTCCCTCTTTGGTGACAATTCCTTGTCCCTCCAGAGGCGTCGCCACAGCAAGGAATGTGGCAACGTTGGGGTGTGGTGGTGGTGGTAGTGGGTTGAAGCTACTGTGGATTTCAATGGTAATAGCGTCGGGGTAGGTAGTAGTAGTAGTGGTTTTCAGCGGTGGCAATGTGGTGGTGGGGGTAGAGGTTGCTTGCTGCAAATGTGAGAGTCGTGGTGTCAAAACCTTGGCTGCTGCTCTGTCTAGTGCGATTTTCAGTAGTGGTGGCGTCGGGTGTGGTGGCGGTGGCGGTGACGGTGGCGGTTTGGGACTACTGTGGCTTTTAGCGGTGGCGACATCAGGGTTGTGGTGATTTTCAACGATGGTTTGGGGCTGATGTGGTTTTCGACAGTGGTGGTGTCGGGGTGTGATTGTGGTGGCGGTCGATGATGGTGATGCAGTCGATCTAGGTAGGTTACAAGTGGTAGTGTTGGGTTTGACATGTTGGTGTGATCTGTTCGTTGTGATGTGTGTGGCGGTGTTCTATTGCGATGGGGTGACAGTGGTGTTGCAAAAATGGTGGCGGCGGTGGCGATGGTGGTTTTCAGCAATAACTATGATTTTGTTATGTATCTGAGGAGTAGTTTTGGGTGGTGGTAGAGGTGCTGGCTGTGAGAATGAGGTTGTAGTGGTGATTGCAGGTATGGACAATGGTGGTCGACAATGGTGATGGTGATACATGACCAATTATTTTGTCATCTGTGACCAATTACTTAATTGTTACCTAAAAATTTGATGATATGTGACTGAAAAATAATTTGTGATTAATTAATTTGAAAATTTTTAACTAACAAATGAATTGAGGCCTATAATATTTTTTGATTTGTAATCGATGAAATAAATCGTGATTCATAAAGTTTTTGATTTGTGACCTATAAATTTTTTTTATTTATGACCTCGAAATAATCTGTAACTAATTAATTCAATAATATGTGACCTATAAATTAATTGTGACATTTATTTATGTATATGTGATCATTAGTTAATAAATAATTTTAATTAATTATATATATACTTAAATTTTGAATTTTTAAATTATCTATCTGAATTATGAATTGGTGTAAATAATACTCCTGAAATATTTTTGTCAATTAGCTGTTTTCTAGAAGATTCAATAAAAATGAATCACAATGGCAAGTCCCGTAAATTACCTCAAATATCAGCCTTAAACTCAAACTCTCCCCACAATTTCCTCTACTCCACTCACCAAGCGACAGAGGAAAACGTACACACACAAGTCCAATCGCCCTGCAAATCAACAACGTAATCAATCAATAACATTAATTTCTGCAAAAAAGGGAAGCAAAAATGAGAGAAATCCTTCATATTCAAGGCGGCCAATGTGGTAACCAAATTGGCGCCAAGTTCTGGGAGGTCATCTGCGACGAGCACGGCATCGACCACACCGGAAAGTACAGCGGCGACTCCGATCTTCAACTCGAGCGCATCAATGTGTACTATAATGAGGCCAGCGGTGGAAGGTTCGTCCCACGCGCCGTCCTCATGGACCTCGAGCCAGGTACTATGGATTCCGTGAGATCCGGCCCGTTTGGACAGATATTTAGACCGGACAATTTCGTTTTTGGACAATCTGGGGCCGGCAATAATTGGGCCAAGGGTCATTACACCGAGGGCGCTGAGTTGATTGATTCTGTACTTGATGTTGTACGCAAGGAAGCCGAGAATTGTGATTGCTTGCAAGGTTTGAATTTTGATCTGTTTTACATTGTTAGATCTGGATTTGTAATTACTATGTCATACTTTTCATGACTAGATCTTACATTTTTAATTTGTTTGTGATTTATGATTATTTTTCTTTTTGGCTTGTTCGTGTCTGTGCATTCGATAATTGTTTAAGGATATATAATGATATATAAGGGGATATTTATTAGAGTTCTAAATTTTTGCAAACTTTAAACAAATGGGAGAAATATGCAATCTCATTACTGATCAAATGCATTTGTGTATCAGTTTTTGGGTGATTGTTTGGATTATTTATATCTGGATCAGATTATGAACTTTCACTTGCACGGGACGACAGAGTGGGTGCTTGTACACCCATTGGGTACACCTTGTTTTTCACCCCCTGTGTGTCAAAAATCTGGCTATTGATTGAAAGAGGTGATGTTAAAATCAATGCAACACACTCACATGGATGTAGACCGAGGTGCCAATCTTGATGTACATATAGCATGTTTCACCCTGTATACCCTTTTTGGAGCCCCATTCTGGCTATGTGCAAATTGCACCGATCACATGGCTTAACAAACCCCAGCACTATATGTGCCTAGGACTAATAAAACATTGCTTGCCCCATGATTTCACGGTCTACACTTGGGGGATGAGGGATGAGTATCTCGAATCAAAAACATCTCTCTAAAATGGATATCTCGGCTCTCATAATGTAGTGAAATTCTATACTTGGTTTGAATTGCCTAATCCCATGAACCGGCTAGTTTTTGATCAAGTGATTAATGCAATGGTAATGGACTGCTTTGTTGTACTTTTACCATTTAATGAAACGTTTATGAGTTTCCCCATCAATCACGTTGTGTGTTTCTGTTGGTTGTATATTTTGTGTTTGTCACCTCCTGTATTTGTACCTTTTCCTATTGCATTTTGTATTATTCTTGTTTGTCCACTGTTAGGTAGATGACAACCTTTTCATCTAGTTATGCAATTGGTGTCCTTCCTATCTATGTGTGCTCTGATTTTATTTCAATCAAATGTACAGGATTTCAAGTATGTCATTCTTTGGGTGGAGGCACTGGATCTGGTATGGGTACCCTTCTCATATCTAAGATCAGGGAAGAGTATCCCGACCGCATGATGTTGACGTTCTCAGTCTTTCCTTCACCCAAGGTGTCTGATACTGTTGTTGAGCCATATAATGCTACTCTGTCTGTTCATCAACTCGTTGAGAACGCAGATGAGTGTATGGTGTTGGATAATGAGGCTCTATATGATATTTGCTTCCGCACTCTCAAGCTTTCTACTCCTACTTGTAAGTTCACCATCTGCATCTCATAAATATGATCTTCACATTAATTGTGTTGACGTTTCTAATTAAACTAACTTTGGGCACCGTATTTCAGTTGGTGATCTCAACCACCTGATCTCGGCTACCATGAGTGGTGTTACATGTTGTCTCCGATTCCCGGGGCAGCTGAACTCCGACCTCAGGAAACTTGCAGTGAACCTCATCCCATTCCCACGGCTCCACTTCTTCATGGTAGGATTTGCACCATTGACCTCTAGAGGCTCCCAGCAGTACCGTGCCCTTACAGTGCCTGAACTAACCCAACAAATGTGGGATGCCAAGAACATGATGTGTGCTGCTGACCCACGTCATGGTCGCTACTTAACTGCCTCAGCCATGTTTCGTGGTAAGATGAGCACCAAAGAAGTTGATGAACAGATGATCAATGTTCAGAACAAGAACTCCTCATACTTTGTAGAGTGGATTCCGAACAATGTAAAGTCTAGTGTATGTGACATCCCACCAAAGGGTCTCAAAATGGCATCTACATTTATTGGAAACTCAACCTCAATTCAGGAGATGTTCAGGCGTGTTAGCGAGCAATTTACTGCTATGTTCAGACGTAAAGCTTTCTTGCACTGGTATACTGGTGAGGGAATGGATGAAATGGAGTTTACTGAGGCTGAGAGTAACATGAACGATCTTGTGGCTGAGTACCAGCAATACCAGGACGCTGCTGTTGATGAGGAATACGAGGAGGAAGAAGAGGAGCTTGAAGGTTGAGGTGTCCTTAGAAGTACCCATGGCTTGCCCAAATCTCATGGTCGATTCGTGTGTTGTCTGTCGGATTCAAGTACCTATTATATGTGTGATTTGTGGTTTGATATATCTGACATGGGTTTGTAACTATATATATGTATTTTCCTCCAATGTTAGGCTTGAATGTCGTGCTGTATAAATGTGGGTTCTGTATTAGTCGTTTTTCTTCGTGCCTAATAATACCATGTTTATCTTTGCAAATTCTAGTGAAGTGTCTCCATAAAACAATGGTTCTTGATTTCCTGCCCACAGTGAGCACGATAAGAACTTTACCTTGCTGATATGGCATGAGAACCATATCCTGCCCCCAGTTTCAATGGCTTCCTACTCTTCAATTGATCTTCTTAATTAGAAAATAAGCTCTTGTCGGTGAATTAACAATAGGCCCCTGTTTGTTTCTCATTTTTTAAAGAATGAAAATAAAATATATAGCCGTTATTAGCTCCATACAAGAGATAGAATTTCAAATTTAATGACTTGATGTAATGGATAACGATCATATTTTTTATTTTAATAAGAAAAGAATGGGAACCAAACAGGGGTTAGATAGCACATGTAGCAATTGATAGAAGACAATGCCATTTCATTATTCTTCACAATCAAGAAAGACAACAAAAACAAAGAATTACCAAATGTATCACACGGCGATGACAAACAATTTATCCTCACACATGCTAATCTTCGACCTAAGGAAGTCTAGAATTTTGACTGTATCATTTTCACAGTTTTAGTGTCCACTTGGAATGACTTAGCAAGAATATCACTGGGAATGGCTGGATTCGAACCAAAGACTGTGTTTGCAATGGTGATTACTCCGGGATTTTGACTGCTGAGAGCTGCAATGGCAACTACGTTTCCATTTCCCACATTGCGCTGAAAGTGGATAAGACCAATGGGGAACACGAAAACATCACCCTTTTGAATCTTTTTGGTAATGAGGCGATTTTCAGGGTTGGAGGTGACGAATCCGACCTCAAGGGTGCCTTCAATTACTGTTAAAATTTCTGTTGCTCGAGGGTGAGTGTGAGGTGGGTTGATGCCCAATGGCGCATAGTCTATACGAACCAAGGAAATTCCAAGAGTGTTAAGCCCTGGAATTTGAACCACATTGACAGGAGTGACTTGGGATCCCACTGGATTTGACGTATTCCCAGCTAAGTGAAGTCCACTGAAGAAGAAATCATTTGCTTGTGCTAGCTTGGGATCTTTGCAAGCACGGCCATTCACTAGCACTACACAAAACACAAAAACACAAAAATGACTATAATTAAATGAACACTAAATAAGTTATTTTTTCTACTGAACATAAGTTTTTAGACGAAGTTGTTCAATACCAAGGCTTTTTGGGTCGGCAACACAAAAATCCTGAAGAGAACTTGGGTCCGATGCTAAAGCAACAGAACAAGTTGCAACCAGAAATCCTAACAAAAGATAATGGGGTGCCATGTTTTTTACTTGTAAAGCTTACTGTTTCTTGGCTGCAAGCTTTGAGTTGCAAGAGATGAAGCAGTGAGGGCTGTTTTTATAGTGTAGGAGAATTTAAAGCTATCTGTTATCAATGATCAGAAACAATTTAGAATTCATTGTTAGGTGTTTGAATGGGCAAAAAAGAAGAATTGCTGTCTAGCACCAATCTATATGATATTATGTGATAGATTCAATTAAAGGTATACGATTCATTTAATTACACTTTTCGTTTTGAAATTTGCTACATGAACAAGGTCAATGACAAGGTTTTATACAGATATGCATTTGACAAAATTTTATCACCAGTTAAAAAAATAAAAGAAAAAGCTGCCAATCAAAAAGCTGCCGTTTCAGCACCTAGAAATAGCCCTTGTCATTGACCTCGTACAACCAATTTAATCCTTCATTGACCTCGTACAACCAATTTAATCCTTTCATTTACACGGTGACCTCCATTAATATTTTGATAAATTATAAAAGATTATAAATTCTAATGAATTTCATTAATTTCAATAGATTTCCACAAATTTTATAAGAATTTTGAAATCCATTCAAATCTTTTAAAATCACTTTATTAATCTTCATAAATCCAATAATTATTGAGGATACCTAAATTTTAAATGATTTAATTGAATTTCATTGAAATTTGAATTAGGAATACCTAAATTTTAATGGATTTCATTAAAATCTCAATTATGAATACTTAAATTTACAAAATATTTTTAAAATCCATCACAATCTCGATCGAGAACACCCTCCTTAATAAAAACTAGGGCCAATCTAGCACTAACTAGGTGTTCTTCATTTGCATATTTATTGTTGGATTTGTTTGTATGCTGCAGATAGTGTTTCTAATCAATTTTTGTGGAATATTTTCTTTGGAGTATTTATGAGAATTTAATATATGGGCCACCAATGCATGAATGGATTATGTTCATGAATCTTTTAGCTTCTAAATACACATTACAAGAAATTTTTAAACTAAAAATTTTGTCTTACAGTCATTTTTAATGAAAAATAAATTAAGCGCTTTCAACTTAAACAGAAAGATGGTCACAGTTCAAAATTAGTCGTGGATGTTTAATCTAAATTAATCAATCTTAAATCTAATAAAATAGAATTATATAATTAAGTTTCTCTAAAGCTATAATAAACTCTTTTAATATCTACATTATATCTTTTTGAACTCTTGTTACATGCTTATAAAGTTTGTCTCAATTTTATTTAAATATTAAAAAGAGTTACTGCAATCATATCATCATCAAATAATTAATATCCCAATAATCAATCTCATATATATTTTTTATAATTTTTAAGCATACCAACTTTTTATTCTCAAAATCCTCCATTTTTAATGTCACATTTTGAATATAATGTATAAAACCTAGACCCTTTAACTCTGGCATTGGGATATAGCGTGAACTACCATCTAACAAACTTAAGATAAGCTAGCACAGGCCCCTCGGGGTATAGCCCAGTGGTGCAAAAGACAAGAGTAAGGTTATTTTACGTCTTGCTGGTAGCCGCAGTGTGGAGGTTCGATTTCTGAGACATGGAATTAGACTCTTGTAGGCGCAGTGTACAGATAGCTTTTGTTACCTGGCCTATTGTGGCACATCCTGCGATTTACCTCCCTCATAAAACTCTAAAGGCGGGATAATAGGGGCCCTTAAGGTTGGAGTTCAACCTTATTTTATTTATTTATTTTTTTAATTTAAGATAAGCTAGCACAGACCTAGTCAGGACACCATTTGACTACTTCAAAAATGGAAAAACATTAAAAAAAAAAAAAAGGTTTAGACCCAATCCAAACCAACAGGCAGTGCAGCAGTCATCTTCTTCACTCATTCCAATCCTCTCCTTTCTTCCACCGCAATTGGCGCTCGGCGACTGAAAGTTCGGCGGAGTCTAGCACGCGCGGCCGCGCCCCCTCGCCGGGTGCTGGCTCCGCCGCTGTGTATATGTATTATGTGTAAAATGTTTCAATTATTACAAGAAAACAAAACACAACTTATTTATTATTGTATTTAAAGCTGAAGGGTCATTCTTCTATTCTCATACTGACGTCCACAGATTTTAGACGGATAAGGTGCCCACATACTGTGCTGGAAAATTTGGCTGGAAAAGGTAACCATTTGTTGAAAATGTCGCCGGAGAAGGTAAACATTTAAAGATTTATATTGTGGCATGAGAATATATCATGGAGAATTAGAGCTTGGAACTGATGATTTTTTATATAATATTTTCGTTTCTTATTTTTGTTTAAGCTTTCCGTGAAATGGAGATGGGCTTTCCGTGTCACGAAGTGCGTGTGCATCTCTGACATGGAGAAGGAGCTGTTCGTGTCACGGAGAGAACCCTCGTCTGTGACACAGAGCTCGCCTCTGTGAGATGGAGATGGGTGTTTCTATAACAAAGACAATTTTCTTTTTATTGTTGCGTTTGTTTATTTTGGATTGTTGATTTATTTATAAGTAAACATTTCTCTGATTTAATTTTTAGATTTTCTCATGAATATTATTTTTTAAATAATTTGTGTAGATTAGTTTTTAGATTTGTTTATGAATATTTATTTTTGAATAATTTATGCAGATGTCTCTAGAATATATAGTCTCTCTAAATCAATGGTTTTCTGCTACAATTATTCAATATCCAAATCGAGAATATCTGAAATATTTTGTAGAGTTCATAGAAGCAGATCAACAATGTTCTTTGATGTGTAGTCATTTTTATGGATTTATTTATAAAGCTGTTTATATAGAAGAATGATAACAATTTAGTAGTAAATTGGTACATGAATTTATAGTGAGACTTATAAATTGTTGGAAAAATAATGAAATTTGGGTACGGTTAGATGACCATGTTGCTAAGTTTGGTTTGCAAGAATTCTGCTTGATTATTGGATTACCTTGCCATGAATCATTCATGGAGATCGATTATAGTAATGATCGTCTTAGAAATCAGTACTTTGATGGTACAAGAAGAATTACGGTGAGAATGCTTTTTGAAGCATTTCACAGGTGTCAAAATCATCAGGATAAATTTAAGTTGTGATTAGTTATGTTGGTAGAGTGTGTGTTAAAACCAACTTCAAGACAAATTGATTACAGAACTCTTGGTATGGTTGAGTATCTTAATGAGTTTCTTGCATATCCATGGAATCGTAAAGCATATTTTATTTTGTTAAATTTTTTGAAAGAGTCACAATGTGAGATCTTTTATGGAAAAATAGCATCATGGCATTCGAAGAGAGAGATTTATTGAAATGGAAAAATAAGAAATAAGAAGTTAGCAGACCAAGTTGATGGATAGGGACAATAGAAAGGGTTTTAAAAGCCATGGGAGATAAGCCTTTAGATTCCATATGCACAAGCTGTTGAAGATATTAACTTCCCTTTGGGTGTTGTTTTTTTGTTCAACAGCAGAAATTAAAACACGTCACCATTTTAATCAGGTAAGGCTCTCTACTTACTATGTGTATGCTACTGTCTAATTAGCTTGTATACAAGTAATTGGTTGTGTGTGTGCTTTAGTAAAACTAATCTATTCTCTTGTTGAATTTTTGGGAAAGATATCCATGTGTATTTATAATAATTCAAAGACTATAACTGAATTATGTAGTTTATAATTTTATTTTCCAACTAATTTACACTAATACCCTCGTGATCTGATGCCTTTTGAGGAAAATATATAATGAAAAAAATAAATATGTATTTAGGTTAGAATTTGATGTATTGTTGTAGTTTTGATTGTGATTGGTGTACTTAGCGCTATTTCACGAGATCAAAGAAAATGAGAGAGGAGCAGCTACGGAGGGTTTTACTATTTAAATACTAATTCAATGAAAAAGACTGTAATTTTCTTTACATAGAAAGGGGTTCTTGGATAGAACTAAAGAAAGAGTACATTGTATGATTGTGCTGGAATAGATATTCCATCTTTGAAAATACTTGTGCGGTCTCTGGAGAGTACATTGTATGATTTTGCGAGAACAGATATTCCAAGTCCTACTTAGACCAAGGCAGGGTTGCCCCTAGACCAAACTCTGCAAAATTGATTTCATCTGTTAAAAAATTTGCTTCCCCAAAAGAGTTTATGGAGTAACCACCCAACTCAGGATGGTGAGAAGTAGGGATATCAACGAGCAAAGTCGAGTGGGCACGAGAGTCAAAACTTAAGGCACGGACTTGGCTCGAGTAAAATTAATTTTATTTTTTTTTTTTTTTTGGTTCGAGCCGAGCAAAAGCTCGACAAATCGAGCTGTGCGGTGTCGGCTCAATTTGTTTAATTGGCAATCTGCCCCATTTTTTTCCCACTCGAGTCGGGCTCGGGCCGATGCCCTAAAATGAGGCTCGGGCAGGTTTGGATTTTTTTTCGAACCGAGTCATGAGCGACCTAAGCCAGCAAGCCAAATTTTTTTAGTGAGAAGATATTGCTTATTAACAAAAGCTTCCTAAAAAGTTAGGGATTCATTGGGTGGGAGGGGGGGTTGATTGGGAATATCATTTTTTGCAGTAATTAAAAACAATTAAATGCTTAAATTTTTTAGCACATTTTAGTTATGGATCAAAGGTATTGCTTAGAATTTTTTATATATTACTATTTTGTCGTTAAAGAGTGTATAATATCACTCATTAAATGTTTTATATTATAAAGTATAATTATGTTTTGTGATAGTAGGTGGTCCTTCATGGAGCCCTGGATTTTTATTCCAATTTAATCACCAGCAATTGCCATAGTTATTGGAAAGGATCTAATAAGTAGGAAAATGATTTCCATCCTTAGGGACGTGTTTAATTTTAGTTGTTATATAGTTTCTGATTATAATGATCTTTGTAATTGTCTAATTTGATGCTCCGTTCACTTGTTTTTGTTTACCGTCTGCGTTCATTTGATTTTTGGTGCTGAAGACAAAGGCCTCAGGGTCAAGGGACTAGTCGGAATGCTCACTAATGCTCTTCACGTCACTTGTAGGAAGTCACCTTTGGTGAAGATATTACTTTCGGCACAAGTCTAATAATATTCTTCTTTTTAACAAGTAAATATC